AAGAGGGATGTGACCAGGGTCACAGCGAGAAAACCCAGAAAGAACAAAGGGACAAAGGAAAAAACAAGGCAAGGAGAAGAGGAGGAACAGGAAAGGATGGGGATGGGCAAGGGTGGCAGAGGGGAGGACTGCAGTACACCTGGGGGGCGTGAAAGGGAGGGGAGAGAGGCTGGGAGAGGGAAGAAACAGAAGAGAATTAGAGAAAGAAGAACAGAGAGAGGTGAAAGGAAGTGGAGCAGAGGAAGAGGAGGAGAGACCAGAAGAAGGGGAAGACACTCAGGGAGGAAAATGTCTCAGGCTGAGGAAAGAGAGCAGTTCATTTGCTGGGTGATTAATTGTGTTTCTGCAGGCAAGTTCACTGAACTTTAATACCCCCAAAGCTCTGGGAGCCGTCGGGCCAGGCACAAGGAGAGGTTTATTCCCTGCTCTGCAGAAGGCACGAGTCCCTCCCGGTCTCGCAGAGCATCTCCTCCTCCAGGAGACCCAGTCTCTCCAGCAGGGAAGGGTACCGAGAGGCATCGCATTTATTGGGGAGCACACGTAAAGCAAGCTGCGAGGACGCGGGGAGAAGCTCCCTGGTCTTGGCACTAACGAGCCTCTGAAGGCCACCAACACAGCCACATTTTCCCAGCAGGAGGAAAAGCGGCAGCTCTGATTCAAGGGGAGGAAAGCAGGGGTGCATGCAGAGCCAGTGCCGAACCCCGCAGCTCTTCACGCCGCCCCGGGCTGAAGCTGTGCACGGGACATCCTGGGGGTGAGTACGGAGACAGGAGCGGATGCAGCGGGGTGTATCTCCATGACCAGCTCCACCAAGCATCTCCTGAACAGGCTCCAGGGTAAAAAGGGACGTTTAAAGGACGCTAAGAGAGGCAGAAGGGCGAAAAATGCTGCTGATCCCATCTGTCAAGACACGCGGGGACACAGCTCCGTGACGCAGTGTTCGGCCAGGCACTGGGCTGGTGGCACAAGGGGCTGCATCTCGCAGCCCCCTGGAAAACCAGGGCGATTCACACTGCTTGTTTGATTGCTGGGGAGGGTTGGAGGAGCCCCTCTGATTATTTTAACCCACAAGTGCCACCCTCCCAGGGACAGGGCGGGCAGCCAGACATAAGGACTAGGGACGGAGGAGGAGGGAAGGGCAGGCAGGGTGGCTGGAGGCTGTAGCAGACAAGGGAAGGGCGTTAAAAGCATAAATGCTCCTCAAAACCAGCCTGATAGGAGCATATTCCCACCCAGCTGATGTGCCACTGCCAAACTGTCACCCTCTGAGGGCCTCTCACACAGCCAGAGCAAGTAACACTATTTAAAGAGATTATACAGCCTTAACCATCCTTAACTGAACTCAGCAGTATCTGAAAGTGCTTCCCAGCTTGTTTAAATTCCAGTTGAGTGAATCACTGCGAAACAAAAGCTTCTGCCACTGCCTCCTCCCTCTCTTATCTTATTTACTCCTGAAAGGAAAGCAGAGTTCAGGTTAAGGGCTGCCTTTATCAAGAACCTTTCACATGGAGGAGACACAAGAGATCTGATCTTCCCCTACCAGCGAGGCTGAAAAGCAATAAACCCCCCAAAGGTCATAGGCGTGCAGAGGCTTTTACCGGCTGCCTTAGGTCAGGAGCGCTAACAGGTTCATTGGACAGGTTTATCGCAAGATTTGCATCTCCCTGGGGGTTGTTCTTGCAGATGACAGAAGCAGGAAGGGGAGGAAGGGGTCTGCTCTCGCTGCCCTCTACATACAAGCTCTCAGAGGTCTCCATTGCTGTCAGTCCCTCATTCCCCACTGGCTCCCAGGCACACGTCTCACACCGCAGCACCTGCCCCCAGATCCACACAGGGTGCTTTGCACATCCCGAGGACTCCCTCCCTTCTCTCCACACAAGCCACCCTCTCCTCACTCTAGCAGGGCAAAGCCTCTTTCTGAAACCTAGACTGAATAAAAAAAGCTCATCTAGGCAGCTTGACTCTTCTTTCCGGTGGCCATCACATATTCGAGTCATATTTTCAGTGGAACAGTTTATAGAGAGCTCCAAGACGCAACCCAATATGTAAACAGTTCCAGAAATCGCCGAGAACCCCACTAATACCAGTCTTAACACACACACTTTACTATCGGCCACTTTTATTTCATCTCAAGAACAGAACAGCCTTTCACCCCAGCTCCCCGCCCGAGTTTAGCCTGTAACCCGGGTAGCACAAAACCAGCAGTCACGTCCCAGAGAGCCAGAGCTCCAGACAAAGCAATCCCGCCGAGACGCTGGCTTTGGGTTCCCCCTCCCTGGGAGAGAAGCAAGAACGCCAACAGCTCCCTCAGCCCGCATCTCCGTGGGTGCCTCGTGACCAGAAGTCACAGAAATATAGTCAGTATCTCTCGGAGTGGGAGCAGGTGGTGACCACAGACCGTCTAGAAGTGAAGTTATTGCTACGTTCTTACTGGACACTGCGGGTAACTCGCCTGGTGACCCCCAAGAGAGGTGACAGTCTCAGCCTGCCCTAGGGTAGGACAAAGGTGGGGGAGGACAAGGCCAGTCTTGTTTAATCTAGTCCCTAACAGGAGTTTTCTCAGTGGGACTGAATCTTTGACGTTTTGGTGGAAATAGGTGGGGGCAGGGGATATTGGCAGGCTCCAAAAACACTTGGAAACGCATCGTGCCTGCCAGGCTTTAGCAAGGAGCTCACCTACTGCTGAACTGCCGAGTGTACTCCTCCTGACTTGCAACGGGAGCTGCTGAGCCACCTTCACGTGGTAAGGAACTGCAGGCTCAAGTTTCCAAGAGAGCAGGAGCCCAGTGTCACCTTGAAAGCTGAGCCAGAGCTGCTGATTCACCAGGGGAAATCAGGGCAAGTTAGAGCTGTAGGACACGGGCATGGGGAAGTACCGGTCCTGCCACTGGCACGTGAGGTCAACTGGACACTTGGTTCCACTTCCCTCTGCTGGTGGGATGTGCCGGCACCCCAGTGTCCGGTCAGACCAGCTAAAACAAGGCCTAACACAAAGGCTAAGACATCGAGACCTCATCACCAAAGATTATTGGGTAGCCCAAGGTTACAAGTGATGAGCTCACAGCAGTGTCAGAACCCACACTGTCCCTCCCCACAAGGACTATTGGCTGGAGAGCATGAGTTTGAGAGGATGAGGAGGACTGCAGGAAGAACCTCAGACCGATGGAAAAGCAGAGGAGTCCTTTGCAGGACATCCAGAGACATCTTTGTTAGGCATCATGCAGCTGGTTCTCTTCCAGGAGAATCTTCTCCCCAGGCTTGAAGGCGGGCATCCCCAGGTAAGGGCAGCTGGCACAGCGGAACGCATCCCCCAGGTAGCACTGGCAAGAGAAAGAAAAACACCTTCTGTAATCACGGGGGACTTTCACTTCTCTCCTCGTGTTTTTCTGGCTCCTCAGCACGTATCGGCACAGAAACCGCTTCCTGCCTCCTCTCAGCACACGTCTGGTTAGCGTGGTTAGCAGAGCTGCACAGGGCACCGTGCTCACGCAAAAGCAGCGAGTTTCCACCCCGGTCGGTGCACCCAGAGGGGCTGCATGCGAGGCTGGGGCAGCCCCCTGACCCCCAGGTTCCCCTGGCTCCCGTGAGGTGACCTTCCCTCAGCAGACTGCTGGCTCGCACGTGAGCGGGGAGGTGAAGGTTCACTGCTCCCGCCGACTCCTGCAAAGCAGCACTTGTGCCGGACAGACAGCATGTGCTGGTACAGAGCACGGGGCGACAGGCTGACACCCCGCTGCAGCAGCAGCGTCTGGAAGCAGTAAACCAGCCTGGGGAGCAGTCACTAGAGACAAAAATCAGGTACTGCAAACCAGAGTATAGAAACAAAAATGACTAGTTACATTTCCACAGGCTGATTTGGGCTGCGAGCTCTTCTTCTCCTGTTCCAGCTCTTCAGCCAGGCCACAGGTGCTGTAGGAAAAAAAAAAAATATAAAAGAAGTCACCTGCATCTTTCCGCTTAAAGGTTGTGAGTCACCAGCACTTGCTCCAGCTCTCACTGTCACACAACACAGCTGACTCCAGGACTCTCATGCTCTTCACTCTGTGGCTCAACACCATGGTTTGTGTAACAAGTGTTGACACACGCTCCTCGCGTTTAAACCGAGTGGGAAATGACTCCACAGCACTTGCTGTGTGTGCTATTTCTCCTCGAAATCTGAGAAACCAGGGCTTTAGTCAAGGCTGGACAAACTGTGTAGCCACCTTCAAGACGACTGCTGATCTGCAGCGGGTTTGGGGCAGCTAGGCAATTCTCACTGTCTTTGGATTTACATTGCAGTCACTAAGAAAGGACATGAACCCAGAGAACTATGAAGAACAGCAAAGCACCTACAACCTTTTTAAAATCCAGCCAGCTCTAGGGGTTTAATGTTCCAGTTAAAAGGTTCACTGATATGCTAATGCCAGCACTGACCAGTTCTTGCAGGCCTTCTTTTTGCCCATTTCTTTGCAGGATGGAGCTCTGAGAGACGATGGATCCGGCTTTTTCAAATCCTCTGAATCCAGCAGCTCATCAGAGTCCAGAAGATCCTGAAAACATACCATAGAAGATTACATGCATGAAACTGATTTGTCAGTAGGGAATGATGTTGCAGTGTTAGGTTCAAAGAACCGGTGCTATCTGTAGCACCGGCATGAAAGTGCTGGGGCTGCGCCCTCTTATCCAGGTCTCCCCGCCACCCTCACCACTCCTCTGGGCTCTCAAGGCCTCACACAGTAGATGAGATATTTTTGCCCTGGGGGTGCTTTTCTGCCTCTTAAGTTGTCAAGATTCCCAACAGGCATGACAGAAACTATTTAGAGTGGGAATGAAGAGGAGAGAGAAGGAATAACAGCAAAGCCTCACAAATAAAACCAGATACCATCTCTTCATCATTCATATCGTTGGCAGAGAGTGTCCACAGCTTGGCAGCGGCTGGGTCCACAGAGGGTTTTCCTGGAGCCAAAACAAAGGAAGAGATAGTAGTTACTCCTGCCTATGCTCCATCTACTCCCACCAAGCAGAGTTCAAGCAACGTTGGAAAGCCTGGCTACACAGGTTTTTACTGTGGTACTTCCTACCCAGGAGCTGTCTCCCTAGTCCTAGGGATGCTTGTCACCTGAGAGGCAGGCAATCCAGACATTTAGCATGCAACACTCCTTACCTGAAGGACCAGGTTTCTTGGCAAAGGAAAGCTGGAGCTGACTTGAGGATCCCACTTCGAAATTGGGCTTCCTGCCTTCGAGCTGAACAATGAGAAGGTCACTGCCTTGGTAACCCAAGTGCTCTCGGACTGACTGGACCTCCTCTGGAGTCAACGCTTCCTTTTGCAGCTGTAATATAAGATTTTGGGTTAACCTCATGCGGAACCCCTTATTTCAGCACCCAGTCCAGCATCCCAGTGAGCACAACCAACCAGTGTTTTCAGTCCTAAAGAAACACAATACCTTTGCAGTAACTAGAGTTAGTGGCAGGCAGTGTCCATGCACATTTACAGTAAACCAGGGGAGCTAAACACCTTGTCACCCAGCAAGTCCCCAGGAATCACCACCTACAGTTCAAGGTAACTGCACAATGGAGTTTCTGGAAGCACTTAGCACATACATACCTCCTTCACTTCCACCAACCCAGAAAGAGTCAGAGCTGTGGGCAGTTTGGCTGCTGTCTTGATTCTGCTGTTGTTTCCTGGAAGACACAAAAGCAGGAAGTAGGACGAGGGAATAATAGAAGTCACTGAGAAACCTGGAAGAGTAAGAGCTTTAGAAGAAAGTACTCAAGCCAAACCTCTGCTTTAAAATTGAGCCCCTTCCAGTCAACAGCAGGAACAAAGCAGAAAGGGTAAGCAGCTTGTTCATGAAAATAAAAGCCTGGGGGCACAAAGCTGACCTAGAACTAGATGATCTGCAGCACATGGAGGTTTCTGTCATCCCATCCTGACCAGACCTGCTGCTCTCCCCCCTCCTCCCTGCAGTGCAGCAGTGAGAAACCGCCCTTTCAGGGATTATGGAATGGTTTGGGTTGGAAGGGACCTTAAAGATCATCCAGTTCCAACCCCCTGCCATGGGCAGGGACACCTTCCACTAGACCAGGTTGCTCCAAGCCTCACCCAGCCTGGCCTTGAACACTTCCAGGGATGGGGCATCCACAGCTTCTCTGGGCAATCTGTTCCACTCCCCGCTCCAGCCTCCTTGTAGCCCCTTCAGGCACTGGAAGGTGCTATAAGGGCTCCCCGGAGCCTTCTCTTCACCAGGCTGAAGAAGCCCAACTCTCTCAGCCTGTCAGATGTGACTTTGGAAAAAAGAAACCTCATCTGCTCTAGGCTTTGCATGTTCTTGTTCTGCCCCAGAAGCGTACCGTGCCTGAGGCACCTCTTACACCACAGAGCCAACGCCAGCTTCAAAGCATTGGCAAATCTTCCCAACCCAAAGAAGGCATTTCTGTTGCCACTTACACCTCCATTTTCAGCACTGTAGACTGTGCCAAGAGAAACGCCATCAGCACAGATGCTTCTGTTTTCTCATCTGGCATAGTATTTCCCACTTCCATCCTGAACCAGCTCCCTGTGCCAGCAAGGTCTGAATAGAGGTCAAGCATATGACAGAGCCCTAACGTTGTGTTCATCTCCTCGCGTGCTCTTCCAGCTGTCCCACGGCTCTGCTCTTAAAACTTAGTCCAAACACTTCTGCCTTTTAAGCATAACTAATTCTCAGCTGGCTTCTGGGACAGCTTCTCTCACAATTTGTCACCCATTTTTAAGATCACTTCAGAATCTCCTCCGAAACACGCTATCTACAGCTATTTAACATTACACACCCTAAAAGAACACCAGCGTCCACTGAGGTTTTCTATCCAGCACTTCTGGTAGAAGGAGAGCGACCACGAGCCTCTCTGACGGCTCCCAGCTTAAACACGGGACAAAAACCTTGCTATTCAGGTTACTGTGTCAGGAGAATGAAAGTCTCTAAACATCAGTCAAGGTTCCCCTCCTTTCCATTTCAGCCTAATCCTCACAGGAATTGCTGTGCTGCCTTGAAAGCGAGGCTGATGAGGATTCTCTCACCTGATTCTGTAACCACGAGTTCTTTCAAGAGGACACGGCCCCCTGGCTTAAGTATCCGAGCTATTTCTGCCAGCACCTCCGCACTGTGCTGCGCAGCACTGCCTGGTACTACGCCTGAGAGAATTACATCAAAACTGGACTCCTTGTGAGCCGCTGGAAAGAAAGAGAAAGATGGTACAGTTTTACACGTATACAGACAGAGCTTTGCTTAACACATCGGATCCACCTCCCTCCTCACCTCTCATGCTTGCGTACAGCAGCAATAACTACTAAAGACACCGGTAACGGGAAGCACAACCGGGGTATATCCCTTTCTTTGGTGTATTGCCAGTAGTAAGTCAGCAGCGGGCGCTATTGTTGCTCTGAATGCTGACTTACAGACCAGGGAAGTTATCAGCTCACACAACAGAAGCACCCTCTCCCTTTAAACAGCGAAAAGTGAAGCCCATTCTTACACTGAGACAGCTGGTTAACGTTTTCCACAGAGACACGATTATCAGCTCCCACCAGCGCCTGAATTTTATCCACCAAATCCTTCAAGGCTTCAACCGGCGAGGAGCTGTCCCAGATGATGGCCACGCGCTGGCCTGGTGCGACTCCGTACTCCCCCATTTCTGCAGCAGCAGACAACCTGACAGCAGTAGAGAGAGAGACGGGTCATGGGGGAAACGGAGAGGAAGGAAAAGTGCCAAGTGCAGCATGAACCTCTGCGGACTGTGACTTGGCCACAGAGCATCATTTTCTTCTAATAAATGGGGATCATTTTCTGGACACAGGTAGCAGACTTCCCACAAGCTGAGAATTAACATGACATTAAGAAACAGCTACACTTAAGGGCATAATTCCGTTTCTTTCCAGTTCAAGGACTAGTCTTGTGGGGAGACTGCAAGCCATGCTAAAAAAAGAGAAACCAAACAAAAAAACCTCACAACCACAAAATACTTACCTGCTTTCCTTAAAGGTTTGAACAGAGATGTACCCTGGGTTTCCAGACTAGTGACAACTACTTGACATGAAACACTGCCTTGTCTCTCCTATTCAGGACACAACCTAGCAGAGGTTGCTTCTGCAGTATATAAGATGGAAAAATAAAAAATATATTTTAGCATTCTCAGTGTTCCAGACTGAGGCTATTTCAACTCTTGTCATGGGTGGCACTGGGTGAACGATTACACGGAGGGAGGAGGGGAATTGAATGCGCAATGCAGTGACGGTTTTGAGAAACCTGTCTGCACAAATGTTTTATAAAGACTGTATTCCTGACAGAGGCTGAAGAAAATCAGCACTATAGAAGTGTCACCACAGCATTATACCACTACCTGTACTCACAGCAGCACTGGCTACTGAAACAAATCACCTAGCCTCTTTAGGCAAACCTATTTTTGTCGTAATTTAGCACAACTAGAAAGTACAGACAGCACCAGTGAGCACATTAGCTGCCCAGAGTATCTTCAATTAGCTGCAAGCCACACACTTGCTTCGGAGAGCCTGTTGTAAGCAAGGTCCGTAGCAGAAATCACTTCATTAGGAACCCTGGAAATGCCTTATTGCCACCATGTTGTCATGAAAGCACGGCTTACAGATACCAAATTTAACTCAGTTGCCTGCAGTCAGGTGCGGAGTGGATTTTGACCCAGTGGCTCTATACACTGTGGACTCCTCTCTCCTGAAAACTGCAAACGAGTTCTGAACAGGCCAACGCTGCGCCTTGCCTGAGCTACTCTGGTCGGCATTCATGCTGATGCGGGCCACGGTGCCAACCAGGTAAGGAGTGGGAGATCTTGGATGTACACTGCAGGTTACAGCACCTCACAGCTGGCCTTGCATGCATGCGCAAAGCAAGGTAAGCAGCTACAACAGAGTAACACTAATAAAAACACACATTAATCCCATTCAAGTCTCCTTTCCCAGGCAGAAGAAACAAAAAGCTGCATAAAACTGTTGGGATAATGTGGAAGAACAAAATCCGAAGTCACACCCTCTCAGAAGAGCAGGCTGGGACCTTTCCAGACAGGTTCACAAACAGGATACCCCAGCAGGTCTCAAACATAATCTCAGCACAGCTTAAGGGAAGAGCCTTGTCAGAGCCCAAACGACACCAAGAGCAACCCCAGCCTGCATCAAACCCCTGAGATGCAACCGAAAGAAAGCAGGAAGCTGCCGCAGTCCTCAAAGCCATGGCACTACCAGGAGGATGGCCACGGTCTGGGACCAGGCTGCTCCGTGCCGCGCCAAGGGGGAGGCCCAAGGCCTGGACCCGGGGGGAGGGGGCCTTATCTTCATTTCGCACACGTTTAACAGTCCTTGAGGAACAGGACTGCCCAAACCAGAGCAAGAACGAAGCTGTAAACACTCCTGGAAGTCTCCAGCTGCC